GCTCCTTTCCCTAGAGAGCAAAGGGTGCTCAGTGGAAGTAACAGTGTGTGTTTTGTTCCTAGTTTCCTAGTGCTTACATGAAGCTATGAAACAGCCTTGTATACATCAGAGTAAAAGTTGTAATTCCTAGATGGTTTTAATCTTGGGATATAGTAGTGTTTGTTGTCCTTGTGCAAAAAGATAAGATTATTTTAGCAATACTTGTTCCAACTAGAGTTATGGATCCTGGGTTTTTTTAATTTATTTTCCTAAATTTAACTGAATTTAAGTCATCTCTGCTACTTTCAAGCTTAAATTAAGTAAAGAACATGAAATAAATCCCCAAGGAAGGTAGAGCTAGATTCGGCAAGAAGCACAATAAGCAGGTACTCTTTCCTTTGATGTGTCATCCTTTGAGAGAGATTTTCCAGAGGAATGGTGAAGACTTAGCAGTAGAACATGGAACGTTTTTGGTTGGTTCTTTAATTTTTTTGTTTGTTTGTTTCTATGTTTATTGTGTTTGGGGTTTTTGTAAGTAGTAGCAGTAAAATTTTTTAACTTCTTTTGGTTAAAGTATGGTTAAAAAATTCAGCTGCATTGTTCTTGCAATTTTGGCTGTGGGTTAATTCCACTGCATTTCTTCCACTGCTGCACAGACAGACCTTAGTTTCTGTACTTCAGCAATGCACCAAAAAAGCAAATTAAAATAACCAACAGCAGTGATTTCCAAAATACCTACATGCAGACAGCTTCCCACTTTAAATGCAGTGCTAACATTTCTTTGGAATAACTTGATGTTCACAGAGGATCTAGTGTGCTCCTTGGATTTTACCCGAGGAGGATAAAAGGCAATTTGTGCTCTCTTGTAACTTGTGTTTTAATATCCTTTATTAAACTACGAACTATGAAATTGACCAATTCTTTCACTGACATCAGTAAGCTTTGAATCATATTAAAAAATTATTTGGTTTGTGGGTTCAGATTATCAACGTGCACTGTATCCAACAAAAAAAAGGATAAAAAAAAGGGGGGGGGGTGAGTTAGATATTCATTTGCAATTAAGGATAAGTTACTTCTGCATATATACACATATTCACTGTCCATTCGCCTGCATTTTCAATTACAGCTGAAGACTCGGTCCAGTACCTTTACATTCTGTAGTGGTTCTTTTCTATCTAATCTATCAGGTGTATTTCTGCTACAAAACTGACCATTATTTCTTTAACATACCCTCCATGTTAGGCAGCTGGTTGTTGAAGAATACAGACATATTGTCAAATATGACCCCTAAGAAAGTTTGCACATGAGCACATACGTGGATGTTTGAGTGTTCACTGGTTCACACTGTAAGCCTTATCACTGTTACTAATCATTTGTATTACACCATAAATTCACAAAGTACAATCTCTATGCTATATAGTCCCTGTACTTCTTGGTATTTCTGAAGTCATTCACGTTGTTTCTATTTCATTCAAGTTATTTATTTATTTATTATTTTTTTTATACAAGCTTTATATGCATCAGTAACAGTGAGTTGAGATTTAAACTCTACTGTGGTCAGACCTGGAATGAACAACCAGAACTGTTTTTCTATCTCAGAAAATGCTGTTGATTGTGGGAGGTGATAATAGGCAATTTATTGTGTTTTTTTAATTATCAGTCACTGCTTATGGATAAAAGAGGAGAAGAATCATGTGTGCTGAGGGTATAAGCCTTCAAAGCTGAATTACTGGAGGGTAAGAAAGTGAAAAGCTGTGAAGGGTACCACAAAAGCAAGGATATATTTTGACCTTGTATATGTCTGTAATGGCAATAAATATAAAATAATTCCTTTGGAGCTTGCTTTGTTTTCTTAAAACCAGCTTGTGGAAAAGCTTGAAAGTTGAGGAGGGCTCATGTTGCCTTCAAATAGTTACTCTTGAAGTATTTTTAGTAGGCTGTAAAGAAAAGCAATGACAACTCCTTTACATGTTTCTTGACTAGTTATGTATTCATTAGAATTCCAGGGACCTGAATGCTGCTGGGGTACACACAGCATGATGCACTGCCTATCCCTTTGGTTTGGCAAAAAAATACAGCAAAAGCTGGATCTTCCACTTGCTGGCATCGAAGGCAGTGGAGCAGCCAGTTGGGAAAGACTTGAGCGCTGATTTTGCTTACACTAAAGTTAGGACGACCAGTTATTCCAGGATGGCCACTCCAATTTTAAATATAGAAAACATGCTTTTCAAATTGTTTCATGGCTCATAAAGGTTCGAGGATTTTCCTTCATGAAAATCTGATCAGAAAGTTACATTGGAGAGCACTCCTGCAGCAATGTTCATAAATAATAAATATTATCTCGTATTAATCCATATTTTAGTTTAACTCTGGCTCATGGCAAGCTGCTTCCTTGGGGAATGCAGAATTCTTTACAAGAGAAGGTGATGAGCCCCAGTCCCTGAGGAATTAAATTGTGAAAACAATCTTTTGTTTTGTACATGCTAATATAGATCTGTTATTCCCTTTCCACATCTATCACAACACATTCTAAATTGTGGCTGATCTTTTATGCAAATAGCTGTCTTATTAGACATTGCGGCTGTATGTGCTAATGTCTCCATGGGTTTCTTGGGCCTTCGCTATCTAACCATCAAAGCAGTGGAAATGAATGATGATTACTGCATCCCTTTGAAGAACAAAGAGGTGTCTGGGTTCTAGATGCGGCAGTTGGTGACACTGAGCCACACAGACAAAAATGAGCATTTCAGGGGCTACTGTTAAGTCAGGAAATAATTTTTTGTCTGTGTTTCCTTCTTGAGTCTTATTGGCACTGCTAAAACTGTAGACTGCTTATGTTTTGCTGTAAAACATTAGGCTATTGAAATTGCAAAAGGCAAGTCAAAACAGTCTCTAAAAGTAGCATAAAAAAGCCAAAAACTAGTTTTGCAGTGTAAAAATATACGTTATTTCCAACTAGCCAGAAGTTCAAATGGTACTTTTATTTTCCACTCTTGCTGTTACGATGTGAATGTTACGTGAGAAATGAAACTCAGTCGAGAATAGCTGGGAAGCATATTAGAGGGGCAAAAATCCACCAGTGGAGTACAGTTCACTGTTACGTGTTTTACATAAGATAGGGGTATGCTCTGTGTTAAACAAAGTTAACGTATGGAAACATTAGAACGCTATAATTGAGTTTTCAGTTTGGATTAAGAAATAATGGCAATCTTTTATACCTTGTTATTATTTCTGAATACCTTTTTAAAAAAGGTATTGATTTCTGAGCACCTAAGTTCCTTTTAAGCTGTGTCCCACACTTTAAATTAAGGAGCCTGGATTTTTCACTTGGCATTAAATGTCTATAATTCTTACAGAAGAGATAAATGCAAAAGAAAGAACTTTGTGGATTGAAAACACATAAATAACTGGTGGGATTGTTCCTGCAGCTGTACATTAAACCGTGTTTGAAACTATGGAGGAGATAATGGTACATGTTTCAGGCCGAGATGCTGATGATAGTGCATTTAGCAGTGTCTTAGCATGCTTTTTGGCCCATGATTTGGCATCACAGTGCCTTTAAGGGCTGTGCTTCCCAGACAGTGTGCCTTGGCAGAGCCTGGGGAAGCTCGTCTTGCTGTAATGCATCTGGTAATGCCTAACAGAAAAGTATAACTTGCAAATACTTCAAAGCCATATGTGCACAATCTGTAGATAGTCTGTGGTTGCCCGGGACAGTTCAGCTGAAGTTTGCCCTTGGCACAACTTGCCAAGGCCAGTTGGGAAAAGGCAAGTGTTGGCTGTTGTGCATCTTCTGCGCTTGAACAGTGAATCTGACACTGGAAAATGTCAGCCCTCTTGTGAGTGCAGAGGTTGGTGTTCGGAGGCTTGTGTCGTAAAGACGGTCAAATGGTGGGACTTACTGTCATTGTGATGAGTGATATATTCAGCCCATCCAAAACGGTTGAAAAATAGTGTTTTGAGGAACAAGTGTGACTTTAAAAGCCAGATATTTTTTGACTTTGGAAAAAGAGGTGAAATGAGTACATTTGTAGAATCTTTCTGTACCTTTTGAGTGGCAGCCCTGTGAAGAGATGAATAAGAGACCATAAGGTTTTCCAGATTAAATGGACATACTTGGAATTTGCTGGAACACAAGTCAGATGACACTTGTTCAGTTACACTGGTGGTGTGACAGTAACTAAGTACCAAAAGAGCATCTTTAGATGAATGATGGTGCAGTTTCCTGTGCAATCCTTGTGTCACCTGTTTGTGCTGTGCAATGCGAGAAGCCCATTCGAGAGTCAGGATGGTTGTTACTTAAATGCATTGAAGGCGATCTGAATTCTCAATACCTCTGCTGAGAGATGTAAAAAGGGTACAGCTCCAGCTCTCACCTTTTCTCCACTTTCTTTTCATTCACAGATCTGTAGAGCTCGTGGCAGGAAGGTAGAGTGTGGGGTTGTTGTGTTTTAGGTATCTGTTCCTCTCTTTAGCTCAGGGTGGCTGAAGGGCTGTGTCTGCAGGTGGGTTTCCTGAGCAGTTACACTTGTGCATGCACCCATGCCTAGTCCTGTGTCATACTCCCGGGCATACTGTAAATGTGTTTGCCAACAACAGAAGCAGCTCAAAATACGACATTCACTCCCTTGTTTAGGAAAAAAAAAAAAAAACAAAAAAAAACCCAAGAAAAAACAAAAGAATGAAATTCAGTGGTACCAGATGCTGAGTTACTGTGCAATCAGTTTAAATCCTTTTCTCTTTTTTATTGAAACTAACAGGCATTTGGTAATGTTAATAACCCATGCAATGGGGAAAAAGGTATGTTAGAATTTTTTAAGTCTTCAGAGTAGTGATGATTTAACTCTGGTGTCTTGTACTCTGGGGAGGCTTATGACTGTGTATAAGCATAGCATAGCATGAATGCCACGTGTTAGTTTTTTTCCAATGTTGTATGTCATTGATCTCCTTAGTAAGTTATTTAGGAATAATGTTTACTTTTTTTTTTCTTTTCTTCTTTTTTTTTCCCCTGCTGTTGACAGTGATTTTTGGATTGAAAACCATGGGTAGAAAAGATGCTTCTACAGCAAGAACTCCTGTTGACCAGTACAGGAAACAAATAGGTAAGAAAAGGGTGTGTGCTTAAAAAAAAAAAATACTGGGTTTTTTTGTTTGTTTGTTTGTTTGTCTGTCTGTTTTGTTGTTGATAGTTTTATTTGTTTTGGTTTTGTGGGGGTTTTTTTAAATTTGGTTTTGTTTTTTTAGCCAGACCTGTTAGTGTAACAAAATGTATTATTCCTCTTCAAAACCTTTGTTTTGCTTGTGAGTGGTACAAAATAAGGTGCACTCCAGGGAAACATTTGTTATATCCTGTTGACTAATTCATTTGGCAAAACCTTTTATGAAGACAGTGTTTCGGGAAGCTTGATAACATCCATGTTCTGTGTTTAGAAGTAGTAGTGAAATACTGCAGTGCAGTGGCTCCATGAAATTTTTGAGCTGTTGGAACATTCCTGGTTCTTCCGTTTGTCTCCGGTCAGATATGGGCATTTCTAACAAAATATTGTTCCTGCTTTGTAACAGTTTTTGATATGCTGAATGATACAGACCTTTATGTTCTATAACTGCATTTATTCTCACACTAATGAAATACTTTTAACATGTTAATCGTTTATTTTCCTAGGTCTCTTTCTGTTCTCACTTGCTGTATACATAGGTAACTTGTATACAAAGTATGCACATGCACGCACGTGAATGCACTCCTGTACTCATACACGTACCTTCATAGCAGACTCAAATCTCTGTTTCTTTTTTAAATGCAAAGGCAGGTGACTTATTGTTAGAATCCATATGTGAGGATTCTGTCTCTTTAGGTGTTAAATAATATTATAAACAGACACAGTATTTTAAAAGAATGTATATAAAATGAAGTACCTTAATTTATACTTAGTTATCTAAGTAAATGACTTTGTTTTAAAGTCGTTAAGCATTCACATCTGTGTTTAAATACACAGAAAAATAGCAAGTGTCTGTGAAAAATAGACTGTTTATAGTGTATATTCTTATGGTGAAAGAGCTATGCGAACAGTCTTATTTTTGTCATGTCATATTTTTTTTAGTGCTGCCTTATTTTAATATAACTTTCAATGGTCTTTTCTGCATCTAAAGTTGAGAGTAAGGGAGTATTGTGTATTTTATTTATTATAGATAGCTGTGGAATGCTCCCTATTTTCTAATCTTGGGCAGTTTATATCTGGCTTTCTTGGTTCATTCGCTGAGACAGTTAGAAATGTGGCTGAAAATTTCTGATTACCTTTTCAGATGTGAAACAAATATACTGGAAAAAGTGTTTAAATAAATGGGCACTCTGCTTTTGTGCAGTTTAGGTTTCATGTAGAAAACCTTGCAAGGAAATTATTACCTAGCAAAGGATGACACCACAGATATTTCACCCCAGTGGGTTTGGTGAAAAGTTGGAGCCCTGCAGCCAATAGTCATGCGTAACTGGGTGTTTGAACAGAGGATGATTGCATTAGCTTTCTGGCATTTTCTCTGCATATTTTCGTGGTGGTCACTTCTTTTTCAGCCACCTCCTTTAGGGATGCTTTTCTTCCTCTTGTTCATGACTTCAGGTGACCATGGTTGAAATTGTTTTTCATAGTTGTCCTCAGGGTGAGAGAGACTGGTGATTTCCAGTGTGATCCCTGGAAGGCAGTATGGCCTGCTGAAAGACCAGGGGGATGTAAAGCTTCATCTAAGTATGAGACTTACACAAGATTTCCTCTCACAGTTTCACAGCTTGAGCTACTTCTTGCAAGTCACTACTGCATGGCACTGTGATTTCACATTTCACAGTTGCGAGATGCTAGGATTGATCATCTGTGCCTTGGTCAGGGGAGAGGACACTGTGCTGTGTAGCAAGGGTGTGAGAGTATTTGTATAGGGGCCTGGTACTCAGAGGAATCCTGTTATATTGCTGACTTTCCAGTTTCAAGCTAGCATGTTGTCTGAGCAATTTGGCACCTTCCCTGTTATACAATGCAGCACTGTGATCTGTTGGGTACTACAAAATACAGTGTCTGAAGGGGCTTATAATAAGCTCATTTTCCTCAGATGCGACACATTGCTCTTAACTTGGCAAAAGCAGGTGTTAAAAATTATCATAGGGAAGAGTCTCACACCGGCAGGAAAATAAACTACATAACCTAGGAGGTGTTCCTATGATTGTACTATTCCTTAGAGGACAGAGAGCAAGAATTAAAATAGACCATTCACTGCCTTTTGCACTGGTGATGGTTGTTTCAATTCCCATTCTGGTCATTCACGATAGCCATAGGGTTTGCCAATGGAAATTACTTTTCTGAACTTAATGAATTAGAGGGGGTTGAAAATCCATGGATACAATTTTATGCTTTAATGTAGGTGTGTTTGAGTTTTATGTACAAGCATTTTGTGTTAGCTTTGTGTTAGTTTTAGGTAGCTGAGCTTAGTGGAGCCATCTCTCTAGTGTCATTATGCTTTCAGGTGTATTATAGGACAGGAGGTGTATTATTGACAATTGTTGTCCGATAAAGAGTTTTTCTTGCCGTAATGAACATGGAATATTTTTTATTTTTTTTTCCCATTACTCCTTGATTTTGTTCTTGCATGGTGTTGCATAAGTGATGATAATTCATCTGTTTATCAGAGTCATGGTTGAAGTTGTCAGGGAAGTCATCTGGTCCAACCCCCCCAGCTCAAGCAGGGTCACCTAGAGCCAGTTACCCAGAAGAGTGTCCAGACGGCTTTTGAATATCTCCAAGGAGGGGAACTCCACAATGTCTCTGGACAGCCTTGTTCCTGTGTTTGATCACCCTCAAAGTGAAGACTTTTTCTTACGTGTTTCAGTGTGTGCCTGTTGCCTCTGGTCCTGTCACTGGGCACCACTGGGAAGAGCCTGTCTCCATCCTCTTAGCACCCTCCCTTCAGGGGTTGATTGAGTTCCCCCTCATTGATGAGGTGTCCCCACACTGATGAGGTAGGTCCCCCTTGAGCCTGATCTTCTGTGGGTAAACATCCCCAGGTCTCCCAGCCTTTCTCATAGGAGATATGCTCCAGATCCTTAATTTGAACTCCTCTTGATCCAGTTTCAGAGTCTTGATCTGATTTCATTTACATACTTACTAGAAATTATACAGAAAGAATTTAAATTTTTTCCTAAAGTCCATTCATCAAATAAACCCTAGATTGGGCAGCCTAGGTACTCTTTCAGGGATGCTTTAGAGTGACTCTGTTCAGTAGTAGACTGCTCCAAACACAGAACGCTGTCATGCTCCAGGCTCATCTGTTTTGGAAGTGGTTGTTTGACCCCCCTTTCTCAGGTAGGTTATATCTAGAAACAGTAAGCAAAGGGAGATTGAATGGGACCTGTCTTTAAAAGAATTAATTTATCATATGCATTAAAAGTTCTAAATACATGTGTGGAGTGATTGCCATCCTTCCTTTCCAGGCATTTGGTATGTATGGATTCTTGAAAATATGATGGATGCTGGCTGAACAGCTATCTCTTGTTGACTAATGGTATGGTGTTATTTCTTAGCTCATGATTTAATGTTTTCTAGCCTGCTGGATAGAAGGTAACCAGATTGAAACGTTTTTAATACCTTTTTTGTTTGATGGAAAATGGCAGTTTTCAAGGAGCAACATGTCACAAAGTCACGTCAACTTCAACACAATTTTCAGTTACATGTTTAGCGAACTAATTTAAAATAAAAGCAGATTTTTAATTTCAATTTGTTCCAAGCTTTCTGTTTTGTTCTGAGTTTCCATACGGCATGCCACATGTTTGCCCTGTGCCATGGTTCAAGCTCATGTTGATCACTTCAGTTCAGCCGTTTGCCTTTTTCTCTCCTCGATTGAGCGAAGGATCGCTCATGTCTTGTTTGCCACTGTGCCATTAGCAGTTGCTGTTTGCTTCAGTAGTATTTTCAGAGGATTCCCCTGGCATAGAGATTGATATTGCTCTTCTCTGTCAGCTGGCTTTCAGCCATCTCTCCTGCCACCAGCCAAAATTTGTCTGTAGTGCCTCTTGTTCAGCAAGTGCTCCGGTATCCAACAGAGCGCTGCCTTTTCCTCTGGGAGCAGAGGCAGCCTTTTCGTTACCAGACCAAACTGGCACTAGCTTCGTGAAGACTGTCCCCAAGCGGGACAGGGAGCAACAGCAGCAGCAACCTTCTCAAGCTGGCTTAGACTGTGCCTGAAGGAGGGAGGATGGTGCTGAGGGAATCTTTCCCCATTCAGTTCCCCATGAACAGCCGAGGTTTTGTAGGAGGAATGAGAAAAAGTAATTTTAACACTCATTATTCAGCTCTCTCTCACATACCCAAACATATACCTGTAGAGCAGCAACAAACGGGGCAGCTCTTCTACATAGTGTTTCCTTCTCACTGCTGCTGTTTGTGCTGCTGTTCCTAATTTGCTGGGATTGGAGGAAAGGTGTGAGGCAGTATGCATCTTTCTGCATTTATGCAGCTTTGCTCCACAAATGCTGTGAAAATAGCAACAGGTTTTACACCATATTTGCTTTGTTTACTGTTATGTGTGCTTTAAGTTCCCAGAACAATTCCACATGTATATTTTCCATCCTTCTTCATCTGGTGTGTCGCTTGCTCGGCATGGAAGCTGCAGGATTTGTGGGTAGTGTTCATGACTCGTGTGATTGTGGGATCCTAAGCAGGCATACTGAGAGGATTATAGCATAACTAAAACCTGGTCTACAAATCAGGAATAGACATACTTTTGGCTCCTATTACTATTGTGTTGCTGTAGCATAATTTTTCATGAGGAGAGGTTGTTTGCCAATCATTCATCCTCCAATTTGTAGACTCAAGGTCTGCTTATTGTCTCCTCTGTATCTTCTGACTTGCTGGCTGGATCCTTTAGGGGCTGGAGCTTATATAGGCACAGCCCAGGGGATCTCTAGCTCCTCACATCCACCGGGAAGGAATAAAAGTTATGAATGAAAACAAATTCTCCTTTTGTTTTGGAAAGCACAAGGTGCTAGGCTGAGCACGATGGCGAGGTGGTGGAGGTGGTGTTCATTGGCACAGCACATGCAGAGCAATGGGGTGGTGAAGGGGACTGGATGGGAGTCCTGAGACCCTAGTTGTAGCAGCACAAGGAGGGAAAAGAAAACTGCCCACCTCAACTAGCAGGTTAAACTCTGTGAAGTCAACCCTTTTTTGAAACTCCTTGGTGTGGGGAGCTGGTGACTTGTCCAGAAGAAAGGCACCTCATCCTAGTGCCAAGGGTTATTGTCCCACTGTAGCCCCAATGAGATGAAGAAGAGCTTGTGTCTCGGCATGATCATGGTGGATAGAACTGGGATCTGTTGTCTCGCAGCCTCCTGCAGAGTAGCTGAGGTGTCAGCTGGGTGGTTGTGAAGGAAAGTGGTCCCAGTCATCCAAACCAGGACTGGTTTGTGGTAGTATGGTTGCACTGACAATATGAAGGAATAGACAGACCTTGGTGAGATGGATGGATGGGGACTAGTGGCAGCAAGTGTCTCTGGACTTCTCATCTCCAGCTCCCAGCTCAGTTGTGAGCATGAACCTGATGCCTCCCTATCTCCAGAGGGAAGCCCTTCTTGTGGCAGATTGCCATCTCTGTTTGCCCAGCTGTTAGAAGTGTCTTTACCCTCTACCACCTCACTTTTTTCTGTTTTCCATGGTTCACCTCTTCTATTTTTTACAGTTAATTTCCCCCCACCCTCCTTACCCTGAATAGTGCCATTGCTCAAATCAGACTGACTGCTAAGACTTGTCAGCTCAAAAAAGGGAAAAGTATTACATTTTGACACTTTCTCATGAAATATATTACACACTTTGAAGTGAAATGTGATTGTTTTGTTTTGGATCAGGAAATGTTTGTAATCAGCGTGAAAATTTTAGATTTAATTTCTGAAACAACAGCAACAGCAAAAAATGTTTGGATGGAGTTTGTGCTGAAAATTTCAAAATCATACCATTTGTAACAAAACAGGAATTCCTGTATCTTTTGTCCGTTAAGAGAAGGCATGGGACCAGAATTCAGGGTTTGCATCATTGAGATTGCTCTCCACTGTCACAAGCAAAGACGTAGCAGGACTGATGTCAATGGAATTAAAACTCTCCAACCTATTTTTTTAATTAGTCATCTCTTTTTTCCCCATATTTGATGTCAGTCACCTATTTACTGGGGGAAAGCTAGGGAGGGGAAAAGTACAGAAACAACTACTTGCTATTCTAAGTGAAGACAAAAATGGGAGAGATCTCTCCTGTTTATTTAAAGTGTAAAAACAAAAAAGTAGGCAGTTCCAGTGCATATGGAACATTACACTTACTTTCTTGAATTTTTCTAATAAAGACTTACTGTTAAGCACATAATAAAGAGAAGCAGAAAGAAACCTCAAACCTAACTCCTTTTGCAAGGAGCTGGCAAGGTTTGGAGTCTTTTCCTCTGCTGAGTTTTCTACTTCACACTGATATGCCATGGATACCACATGCAGTCCCTTTTCTTTTGTTTGGGAGGAAGTTTTATGAAGCATGACTTTCATTGTCATGAAAAATGAGCTAGATCTTTTGGTCAGTGATTGCTGTTTTGAATTCAGTTTTGTGCCAGTGGCATCACTTCTTGGAAACTAGAGCAGGAGCAGCTGAGGAAAGCACTGCTGTGAAGTGAAGCCTAGTCTGGGTGTACTAATTTAATCCACATTTTGTGACGATTTGGATGTTTTTAAATATGTTCTGTGAAGGCTGATGATGGATTTTAAGCACATACAGTATGTGATCACTTATTTTTTAAAGTCCAAAGCAGTAAAGCTGTTTTATTGCCTTGGCTTGGAGCATAAAAGGTGATAGTAAATCTGGATATGTACTTGTGTTTGTGTGGATATTATTTAGTTTTCGTTTGCAGGGCAGACACAGCCCCAGCCTGAGCAGGGGTGGGAGAGGTGGCTGCAGAGCCAGGGGACTCTAGGAATGTGTACACACTCTGTGCAGAGATGCTAAGGAGAAGTGTGTATCTAAACCCTTGTCTCCCATCCTCTCTCCACAGCAAACCCCCAGAGTTTCTTTGAACTTGGTTGATTATACTACTCTTACTGTACATTTATACTACACTTGTTTAGTACTTCTATACGGATGGAGGCTCACAGTCTGCTCTTACTTTAATCTCATCGACAACATCACCATTTCACTCAGTGGAGTTGCTGCGAACTTTTTTATAGGTGTAAATGAGAGTGAAATTTGACATGCTGTTTCCAGTTGCTGAACTGCATTTCAGCATGATGTTACTTCAGGCACTTGCAATTCCTGTAAGGTATCTGGTGTCTGAAGGGCTTTTGCAGATAAATATTTGTGCTTGTACTTACTCTCAGCTTCTGATCCATTCTTCAGTGGATTCATTTCTGCAGTCAAAAAAATCAACCTAAGACAACCTCTTTGCATTCTCTCCAAAATTCATAGAAGTTTCACTACAGACACATATGTGTGTGTATATTACATTCAGAGGCAGAGCAGTTTAACTTTTTTAGAAATTCTTTCACCAGGCTTTGAAAATCTTCACTTGTATGTGTGAAGAATGGACTTCAAAATACTTGTATTTCAATGTGAGTCTGTAAATCTAACTTCAGACACCCATTTCTAAAAATCTCAGGCATAATTTTTCTATGTGTACAGTGTTCATATATGTGCACTCTCTATATACAGTGTATGTGCTTATATTTGTAGGTAATATTATGTCAATATAAATGCAAGAAGAGTTGGGCAGTGAAATACAAATCCAACTTCCTGTTATTTCATCATAAGGCAGCAGTGCAGAAGGTGTAAGAATGAAGTGACCGTGCACATGCATCTATCAAGATCTGCTTGATAGATGTTTAATGTGGACGGCATTTCTTCAGTTACTATGCTGTGAGATACAGCACTATTTTCTTTTTTATGAAGTGTAAGAACAAAGACATGGAGTCCCCCGGCTCAGTTCAAAAGGTGTATCTGAAGACACTTTTGTGTTTCATGCTTCAGGACATGACCACTTCCATTAGGTAGTTCAGCAGGTCTTGGACCTATTTATGGCCTTAATAAAATGTGTTAGATGTCTGTGTTCAGGGTAAGCGTAACCACAGATCAGTCATCTGGATTTTGTAATGAATTTGTTCACATTGGTGATTGCTATCACGTAGTCTGTTAATTGCATGTTGTCAGGGATTTCTGTAACTGGTTTGTATTAAAAATATTTTTTTCAGTGGAAGCTTTTGTTTCTACTATGCCTTATTTTGGAAGAAAGTTAGGAACTGGCTACATTGTGGTTTTCAAGGTCTTGAACTATTTATGGGATTGTCTGCTAGGCTCTGCATATTACTTGCAGGCTTAAAGTGTGGATGGGAAATGGAGTAACAGGGCAGCAGATCTTAGCTCAAACTGCTAGAATGAAAATATAAAAAGGCAGTTGCTTAATTTGAATTACAGTTACAGAAATTACAAGCATTGTGCAGCTAGTTTTTGCTTTTACTCAAAGGCTGATTAAAAATCAGCACTATTGAAAGTATTCACACATTTAAAGGCATTTCGAGATTTTTCATTTGTGTAGCAGTTAGATCAGTACAGCAAAATACCATGATGTGACCAAAGAGCTTCACAATAAAAAGTGGAATGTGGGAAATCAAATACTCTGCCCTGATTGAGTGCTCTGGTTGCAGGTAATAAATTGACAGTTAGTAGAAGGCAAGTAACTGATCTGTTTTTTAATCTCTGAA